CGAATGGTCCAGGGCCTAAAGGTATACATGGTGGGGTAGGGTCCACGTGTGAATGGCTGCACTCCGGGAAGTTCTTCAGGTAAGTCCTTAGTATCCCTCCTGGAATATAAGGGCTTTATAGAGATCCCTTCTGGGGTGCGCCATATTAGGTCTTCTGGATTTTTGCCTTTCAGTTGCTTTTTAGCCAGGGCGGCCCATTCTGGGTGAAGCGGTTGTTGCTGGTGTAGAAGTCTTTGCCATATGAGCCTGGAGCCTGATGACTCTTTTACCTGCTTCAGGTAATGAGGGAAAAGTAAAAAAAGCTGATTCTTAGCCCTCAACATGGTGGAGCACAGAAACACCCAACAGGAACAAGAACAGACCTAGAAAAGAAACACAGAGTATATACATTTAGAAGAGGGTGGAAAAATAAGAGCTACTGATGAGAAAAGAAAAGAGGGGGAAGAGGGTATATTAGTATGATTTCATCTCTTCCCCTTTTCTGCTTCCTGCACCTAATATTTTATAACTTTGGCACCTCTTCTCCACAATTACTATCAGCATTCTAGTTCCAGTCTTCTTCCTCAGTACCCTCTTAGCTACCACAGTCTCAGCCCCCTCTAGTCCACTCTACACAACGATACCAATGAAAATCTATGTCACACTCTCCGTGAAATTTTTCAAAGGTTCTGCATCCTGTGGATGCAGTATAGCCTTCCAATTAAATTAACTTTTCTCATTCAAAATGCTTTTCCTTTTATTAAATACCTAATTTATAATAGGCATTATGTTGGGTGATAGAGAAAAAGTGGTGAACAAGACAAACGGGCATTCAAGGCCTTCATGACCTGGTCTCTGCTTGCCTTTCAGATTCATCTCTGTGTTTGTCCTCTCTACACATTTTGTATCCTAGAAATACTGGGCCAGCTATACAGTTCACTGTGTATGTCAAAGTTCTGTGAATTTGTTCTTGCTCTTCCTTCTTCCTAGAATGTTGTTCTTTGGCTAATTTAGCTAAGGTACTATCTCCAAAATGCACAGTTTCTATGTGCCAGGCACATAGAAAGCTATAAAGTCTTCATATAGAGTAGCAATTTTAATTTTTTGTGCGTGTTTTACTTTTTAAATTTTTTTTAAATTTCAAAATATTAAGTAGGCACAAAGGTTTTTGTTACATGGATACCTTTTATAATGCTTAAGGTAGGGCTTTTAGTGTGTCCATCACACGAATAGTGTTCACTGTACCCAACAGCAGGTTTCTACCTCTCCCCTCCTCCCTTTCCTGTGACCTTTTATCTCTTTGTGCCCGTGTGTGCTCATCGATTAGCTCTCAGTTATTACATGTGGTGTTTGTTTTTCCATTCCTGAGATACTTCACTTAGGATAATGGTCTACAATTCCACCAAGTTGCTGCAAAAGACATTATTTCATTCCTTTTTATGGTTGAGTAGTACTCCATGGTATATATACCACATTTTCTTAATCTATTCATGAATTGATGGGCACTTAGGTTGATTCCACATTTTTGCAATTGTCAATTGTGCTGCAATAAACTTTCAAGTTCAGGTGTCTTTCACCAAGAGGTAGGAACTAAAATTATATTATCCCCTTTTTATAGATTAGGAAACTAAGGCACTGAAGAGCCAGCATTTGAACCTAGGCAGCCTGTTTCAAAGTCTTTGCATTTAAGTAATATGCTCACAACCCATCCCTGAACCCTCAAGATGAGCTAAAAGGCCTCTTCAGTAATCTACTTCTCTGCTAGTCTATAAACTGCTCCAACATTAGAGCTGTATATGCCTGATAACTAGCACAGACTATTACTATACTAGGTGACCAGGTCAAGTTTCACTGTTTTACAGATGTAGAAACTGAAATTCAGAGAAATAAAGATATAAAGTGGCTTGATCAAAATCCTACCAAGCAAAGCAGTTAATTGTTCACTTCAATGACTAAATACTTGTGAGAGTCATACAGCTTAAACATATGTAGCCAATTGTTTTAAAAGATATTGAAATACAAATTTCTTACCTATCAATTTAGTGAAGCTTAAAGGAAATGAATACTCAACACCTATTATGGGGTCATAAAACAAGAGACATAAACCACTGGTGGGAGTATTAACTGTTTTAACTACTTTGGAAAGGAAATTGTCAATGTAATAAAAAGTCTCAGAAAGGTTTACGCCATTCTGCTGAGGAACATCACTCCTGGGAAAGCTATTGTAACAATATATAGAATAGATGTTCCCTATAGTTTTAGTTGTAATAGAGAAAACTTAGAAAAATCATAAATGTCTAACAACATATGAATAAGTGAATTACAGCATACATAAATGATAGAATTTTATGTAGCTATTGAAATATGCTTAGAAAACGAGCAAAACTTATCTTTAACGTCAGAAGTCAGAAGAGTAGTTTATGGTGGCTAGTACAGAAAGGGAGCCAGAGGGGCACTTTTTGGGGTATGGTCTTGATCTGAATGCCAATTACATAGATGTATTCTGTGGAAATTCATAAAACTGTACAATTATGTTATGTGCACTTTCTGTAAGAATATTATATATAAGTAAAAAGCTAAAACCATGTTATGCATAGTTTCTATAAAAGGAGAAAGGCTCAAAAGTATTAAGTGAAAGAAGCAGTATATATAATTGCAAATGCAATATGTTCAACCAAGTAAAAAATGCACAGAACAAAGTCTAAATGGAAATACAACAAAAACAACTCCCATTGTTTTTTAAAGCTATTATGATTTTTATTCTACTAAATCTATCGGTCCTTGTCATCCATTTATTTGCAAGCCATCCACTACATTTATTAGCATAAAAGGTGGTTGAGAAAAATAAGTTACAACTGAATTGTTTCAGTAGTAATAATATAAAACTACCTAAGACTAGAATGACAGGAAATATCATACCCATTTCACACAAAATACTTGTGGGGCTTTCCTAAACCTAGACAAATGATAGGAAAGAAGCCTATGTAACAGTGGCTTCCTGAAAATCACATGTAAATTGGGGGAGGTTGAAAATTTTTAGATAAGAACACAACTATTGTTGATGGCAATAGGACTCGGGAATTTTCTCTTGGAAGACCCATCAAGAGAGGCCTCAAGTAGACTGGCCTTTATCAAAAAGTCCCAAAACAATAAATGTTGGTGTGGATGCGGAGAGACAGGAACATTCATGCACTGTTGGTGGGACTGCAAACTAGTGCAATCTCTGTGGAAAGCAATATGGAGATATCTTAAAGAGATACAGGTAGAAGTACCATTCTATCCAGCAATCCCATTACTGGGCATCTACCCAAAAGAGCAAAAGTGGCTCTATGAAAAAGACACCTGCACCGGAATGTTTATAGCAGCACAATTCACAATTGCAAAGATGTGGAAACAACCCAAGTGTCCATCAATACATGAGTGGATTAATAAAATGTGGTATATGTATACCATGGAGTACTATTTGGCTTTAAGAAACAATAGTGATACAGCACCTCTTGTATACTCCTGGATAGAGCTGGAACGCATTCTACTAAGTGAGGTATCCCAAGAACGGAAAGACAAGCACCACATGTACTCACCATCAAATTGGTATTAACTGATCAACACATAAGTGCACATATAAGAATAACATCTGTTGGATGTTGGGCAGGGGGGAGGGAGGAGGGGACGGGTATTTGCATACACAAAGAGTGCAATGGGCACCACCCGAAGGATGGACATATTTGAAACTCGGACTTGGGGGGGGGCAAGGGCAACATACGTAACCTAAACATCTGTACCCCCATAATATGCTGAAATAAAAAAAAAAAAGAGAGGCCTCAAGTAGTCAAAGCAACATGCAAAGCAAATATAAGTTATTCATGATTAGAAAATGTTAAACAGAATCCCTGAAGCCCACTCTCACACCTCCAAAAACTATCCATAAGAGAAAACAAATACTGCCAACAAATAATTTTCAAGTTTTGACAGCTGACATGTGGTTCCACATTAATACTTCAAGAAAGGTTCCCACGTCCAGTGTTAAACCAATTTGGGTCAGAGATGGAAACAAAGGGCATGCAAATTATATTTAATATTAGCATAAGTAAATCATTAAACACAAAACCATATCGGGAGAAAGTTATCAAATGGTTTAAAACCTTACACATATCTATTATCCGGGGCTTCGACCTTCTGAAAGACCACTTTCTTTCTAGACAAAACTGAGAGCAAGTTAGCAATTTACGCTTTTATGCCAATTTAGACCTGGCTTTCCTATTCCACCTCTCATCCTTAATACCACTTACATACAGAAAATCACTTTTAGTCCTGCCAAGTTTTACAAAAACCCTAACAATAACTTGAGACACATCCTAGAAGGGAAGCAGCCATGGAGCAGGCGCACGCCTCTGGAACCGCATAAGAAGTGACCTTTGCCTATGGCAGCACCTCGGGGTGCCTGGGTAGCCAGAGAAGATGGAGTATGGCCTCCGAGCTGTTAAAAGCACTTCCGAATTCCCAAGGATCTGGCCAAAAATGAGAGGCTGGTCGAGGTGAGAATCTAAAGGAGAAGACGGAGGAGAGTGGGATCCCGTCACAGTAGGAAAGTAAATAAGGAAGGAAAGGACAGAAGCTCAAAGGACAGGGGTAGAGAAGAGAGAGGAACCAAAATAAAAAAAAAAAAAAAAAAACACGGAAGGATCTTAAATGTGCACAGTCCTACTCACTGGCTGGCCTGTTTCGGACTCCGCAATGGGAGAGGGCGGCTGGACTTGCGCGCCCCCAGCTTCACTAGTCAGAGGCCCACACACTTGGACTCGCCCACAACAAACACACACACACCGCGCAAACGCCGACTCCAGCCAGAGGAGTCAGGGGGCGTAGGCCGACACCTCCCTCTCTCCAGCCAATCTAACCGCGCTGGCGCGGGCGCGTTCCCGATGGCGTGAAGGGTACGGCTAGAGGGCCCGCCTCCTGCCACAGGCGTTTCCGCTCTCTTCCCGCCCACTTCCTGTTTTCTTCCGCTTTGGATTGTTTAGGCGCGAAATAGTCTGAGCGCGACTCGCCGAAGGGTTCGAGAGGATTCATTCGGTGGTGAGCTGTGAAATCGCTTAACCTGCTGGGGGATCCAGGTTAGGGGATGAGTTTTGTGGCCAACGCGTTTGTGGCAAACTCTGCGGTTTGTATTTGAGGAGCGCGAGGGGATTTTTTCGATGGGAGATGCCAGATGTTCTTGAAGGTCTGCCATTTGGGGTCGCGGATCGAGGTAGTTGATTTGCGAGGAGGGAGTGAAGCCATACATAGTTCCTCCCTACGTCCCCCATATCATCCTTGTCCCCATTTCTGAATCTCTCCCGCAGCCAGTAGTGCAGCGAAGTGCAGGCTTAGAGATTAATGTCTTTTTCTGTTCGTGTTTTGCAGACGTTATGCTCACCTCTTCTGTCCACGTAGCGGTCTAGATTGAAATACTTGATTTCCACGAGTTTCGACAAGCTGGTAAGGTTAACAGGACAACCTATGGTGCCTTCCTCTTTCTTACAGTATATAGTATCGCCACCAACTACCGTTTCAGCCTTATTTCTTCTCACTCCTCCCATACCGATTAAAAGCTTCGCTGAACTTTTCCGATGCCAGAACACACCAGTTTCTTTTGAGCTGTCTGGTCATCCGCGTTTTGCTGTTTTCTCCTGAATACTTCATTTCCCTTCCTTCTGGCTAAATATTTCAAAATGTAATTCACATAATACTTTTTCATCTGAATAACTGCCCGAGCGTGTCTCGGAGATGTTGCCGGACTGGTACCATATCACTGCAATAAAGTGAATTTTGCAATAAGGCAAGTCACACAATGCTTCCCAATGCATAAAAAAGTGATGTTTACGCTATAATATAGCCTACTAAGTGTACAATAGCATTGTCTAAGAAAAACATTGTACATACTTTAATTTTAAAATACATTATTGCTAAAAAATGCTAATGATCATCTGAGCCTTCAGTCAATCATAATCTTTTTGCTGGTGGAGGGTCTTGCCCTGATTTGATGCCTGCTGACTAAAGGTGGTGGTTGCTAAGGTTTGAGTGGCTGTGGCAATTTCTTAAAATAAGATAACAGTGAATTTGCTGCATCTCTTGACTCTTTCTTTCACAAAATATTTCTTAGCATGCAATGCTCTTTGATAGAATTTTACCCACGGTAAAACTTTCAAAATTGGAGTCAGTCCTCTCAATCCCTGCTGCTGCTTTATCGGCTAAGATTATAGAATACTCTAAATCCTTTGTCTTCATTTCAACAATGTTCACAGCATCTTCACCAGAGTATATTCCATCTCAAGAAACCACTTTCTTTGCTCATCCCTAAGAAGCAACTCTTCATCTACTCAAGTTTATCATGAGATAATAGCAATTCAGTTACATCTTCAGGCTCCAATTCTAATTCTAGTTCTCTTGCTGTTTCCACCACATCTGCATTTACTTCCTCCACTGAAGTCTTGAACTCCTCAAAGTCATCCATGAGGCTTGGAATCAACTAATTCCAAATTCCTTTTGACCTCCTATGAATCACACAGTTATTGATGACATGTAGAATGGCACATCTTTTTTAAGAGTTTTTCAATTTACTTTTCCCAGATCCATCAGAGGAATCAGTATCTAGTATAGCTATAGCCTTACAAATATATTTCTTAAGTAATAAGACTTGAAAGTCAAAATGGCTGTAATTCATGGGCTGCAGAATAGATACTGAGTTAGCAGGCATAAAAACAATCATCTCCTCGCACATCTCCATCCCAGCTCTTAGGTGACCAAGTACCCTGTCAATGAGCAGTAATGTTTTGAAAGGAATCTTTTTTCTGAGCAGTCAGTCTCAACAGCGGGCTTAAAGTAGTCAGTAAACCATGCTATAAGCAGATGTGCTTGTTATCCAGGCTTTGTGGTTCCATTTACAGAATACAGACAAAGTAGATTTAGTAGAATATAGGGTCCTAGGATTTCCAGAATGATTAATGAGCATTGACTTCAACTTGAAGTCACCGGCTGCATTGGCCTCTAACAAGAGAGTCAGTCTGTTTTTTGAAGCTTTGAAGTCAGACATTGACTTCTTTCTAGCGATGAAAGTCCTAGGTGGCATTTTCTTCCAAGAGAAGGCTGTTTGGTCTACATTAAAATCTTTTATTTAATGTAGCCACCTTCATCAATGATGTTAGCTAGCTAGATCTTCTGGATAACTAGCTGGAGCTTCTACATTAGCATTTGCTACTTCACCTTGTATTTTTATGTTACAGAGATAGCATCTTTCCTTATACCTCATGAACCAACATCTGCTAACTTCAAACTTTTCTATTGCAGCTTCCTCACCTCTCTCAGCCTTCACAGGATTAAAGAGGGTTAGGGCCTTGCTGTGAATTAGGCTTTGGCTAAGGTAATGTTGTGGCTGGTTTGATCTTCTATCCAGACCAAACTTTCTCCATATCAGCAATAAGACTGTTTACTTTCTTATCATTCATGTATTCACTGGAGTAGCACTTTAAATTTCCTTCAAGAACTTTTTCTTTGCATTCATAACTTGGCTGTTTGGCAAAAGAGGCCTATCTTTCCACCTGTCTCTGCTTTCAACCTGCCTTCCACACTGAGCTTAATGATTTCTAACTTTTGATTTAAAGTGAAAGACATGGCACCCTTCCTTTCACTTGAACACTTAGAGGCCAGTGTACGGTTATTAATTGGCCTAATTTCAATATTATTGTATCTTAGGGAATAGGAAGGCTGAGGAGAGGGAGAGAGATGGGGAACAACTGGTTAGTGGAGCAGTCAGAACACACAACGCGTATCTTGATTATGTTTGCCATCTTATATGGGTGTGGTTTGTGGTGCTAAAACAATACAATACTAACATCAAAGATCACTGCTCACAGATCACCATGACAGATACAATAATAATGTAAAAGTTTGAAATATTGGAAGAATTATCAAAATGTGGCACAGAGACAGGAAGTGACCACATGCTGTTGGAAAAATGGCATTGATAGAGTTGTTCCACCCAGGGTTGCCACAGACCTTCACTTTATAAAATATGTAATGTCTGTGAAGTGCAGTAAAGTGCAGCACAATAAAACAAGGTGTGCCTGTACATTCCCACACATAGCAATTTGAGGTAATTATTCACTCACTTGTCCCTTTTATAACATTTTTATCACATTATATATAGTAATGATTTTCATATCTGTCTCCACCTACCCACTACCACTAGGCTATGGTTTTCTGTGGATCTAAGAACAGAACAAAATTTCTATTTCTTTTTATATATACTGCAACTAGCCCAACAGTGATAGAAATGGTGGCTTTTGTTTACTAAGTTCTTACCATGTCCCCAGTACTATTCTAGGCACTTTATATATTCTGTACTAAATCATTTTAACTTTACAAAAGTTATTGGTACTTTTATTAACCCATTTTACCAATGGGGAAACTGAGTTAATTTGCTTGCCCAAGTATATACAGCTAATTAAGTGACAGAGCAGGATTTAGAGTTTGGACAGTTTATCTTCATCCTTGGACTAGTCTTAACCATTATGGCAGTGCTTCTCGACCTGGGGCAGTTTTGCCCCAGGGGACATTTGACATTGTCTGGAAATGATTTTGGTTGGTACTACTGGGTCTGGGAGTTGGAGGGATTCTGATATCTGGTGGGTAGACACCAGGAATGCTGCTGAACATCCTACAGTGCATAGGACAGCTTCCCACAACAAAAAGTTATCCTATCCAAAATAGTGCTGTGGTTGAGAAACTTTTTGCTCTACGATCTATTGCCTCAAGTAGCTATCAGTGAAGATGGTACTTCTGAAATTGTGATAAGGGACCAATTTTGTTTGTTTTTTTATTTCTAATCAGTCATAACTGATACTTACATAAATGCAATTAAAAATAAATTATTAGTCAAAAGTCAATTAGTTCTAGAATGTACAACACCAGGAGTAAACCCTAAGGTAAACAATGGATTTGGGGTGATATGAGGTATCACTGTACTTGATACATAACATCCGTTATGGCAAATGTTCCACTTTGGTGGGATGTTGATAGTGGGGGAGCTTGCAGGGCATGGGGATGGACAGAGGGTATATGGAGACTGTACTTTCTGCTTAGTTTTACTATAGATCTAAAACTGCTCTGACAAAGTATTTTTTTAAAATCTTAATTACTGAAAAACGAGATTCAAAAGATAAGGACTAATTATTTTATGGTTAGATTCAACATACATAAAATTACCCTGTCAAATTGCTATAAAAGTTTCTAAATGATTACTCTGAATTTCTGTACGTAAAAGAATTATGCCAGTTTTGTGAACCAAATTTGGAGTAGAACTGAATTACATGTTATTGAATAAAGAACATCAAGAAAAAAATAATTAAAACCAAACTATAAATAAATGCCAATGAGAGAGACCATAGAACCTGCAAACTTTTAAAAGAGAAATGAAGTGGAGTGGTTAGGAAGGCTTTGGGAAGGAGGTGGCTCACCTGAGAGGGTAGGCAGAGATGGGGAGAGAGCAGCTCAGGTAGAGGATACAGTATGTTCGTGGGAGGCAGAATTACTCAAAGTGTGTTCAGAAAATCATCAAAGCTAGCTAGAGAGGGAGATTTGATTAAGGAGTAGTAGTAGGAGAGAAGTACGAAAAGCTAGACAGGGTTAGATCGTTAAGGACCATAAATGGCATAGTAAAGAGCTTGGATGTTATACGATAGGTATTGGGGTGAGTTTTTTAATCAATCATTTTGTTCCAAAATTTGGTATTGGAAGGAACTTAGCAGGGGCTGGCTCATGTCTTGTCCATGCAGTGTGAGCTGCAACACATTGGCTCAGCTACATACACCAGGCTGGCAAGTTGGTGCTGACTGTTGGCTGGAAACTCAGCTAGGACTTTTGCCTGGGGTTTCAGTTCCTCTTCATGTTGGCCTTCCTTATATGTTGGTGGCTGTGTTCCAAATAAGAGGAAGGTGAAGCTTCCAGTCTCTTCATGTCTAAGCTGGAACAGAATCACTTTTACCATATTCTTCTGTTCACACAGCTGCAGTCTGCCAAGATTTAAGACAAGGGTACATAGACCCTATCTCTCATTAAACACTAGTGGGAAAGAATTTGTACCATTTTCAATCTAAAATCTCACCTGTCGCTTGTTCCCTGACCTGGATGCTCTTATTCAGTGAACAACCTGCTGCATGTGTCAACCTTTCCAGCAGAGGTCCACAAGTGAAACTCTCTCATGTGGATGGATTTTTAAGTAGAGGAAGTATAGGGGCATGGATGTCAAATTGAGAATAGAATTAGGCATTTTAGAAATGAAACAGAGGATAGAGACTGGATATAAAGTAAGGTACTGCATTGTTCAAAAGCAGGGTAAAGTGATAGTTTGCCTTCTACTGCTTTTTATAACTGATCTGACATGTAGTTGCTAAATGTGGGTTGTGATCTTTCAGTTAATTCTTTTTAACTATTGATTTCAGTCTTAACTGAAAAAAAAGAAAGTTTGAAGCTTTTAAAATTTGAGGGAATAGATTTATCCAGAGTATCCCTTTATTGTCTGTCTGTAAATCTAAATATAAAATTAAACTGTATTAGTACAATTAATTTTGAATTTTTAGAAAAAGAATAATTAATTTATATATCTAGCCATACATGTCTAGAAAAATACATATGCACACATATATATGTATATATGTGTTATGTGTATATACATGTTTCCTTGTGTATTGTACCTAAATTCTAAGCCATCTACTTCTTGTGGTCTAATGCAAAAATAACTAACCCATTCCTTTGTTCCTTTTATCAGAAAAGAGTTTGGTAATAAAGGGCTGTTAGAGAGAGAAAAGGAGCTATTCTAAATTTTGTCATTGACATTCCCAAGGAGAATTTGGAACATTTATGACTTTCTTTAACAAAATATTGTGCAAAGCTTTAGCATTTTTCTGTGTTCCCACATGTGTTTTGTAATTTGTGAGAGGACAAAGTAATCAGTATACTTCTGTACTCTTGTCAAAATGCACATAACACAGATAGGGTTACTGCTTAAATCCTTATGAGTGGTAGACTATCACTGAATTTCCACAACATAGATTGGTGGTATAATCCTAAAAATTATCTCCTCCTATCTTTGGCAAAAATTTAGTAATGGTAAATCCATTACTTAAAATGAGAAGACCTGGATATTATTGCTCAAACTGACATCATCTGTGACCACTTTATATTTCCATTTTCTTGGATTTAAACATTGAAATAATGTTATTATATGAGGGAGTACAAAGTAAGAGATGCAAAAGCATTTTTAAATGATT